GCAGGACTGAGGCCATAGACACTTTCGTTTGCAAGTTCTCCCAGAGAAGAGTTAGTATCCTAAGCCTGTTCCTGTCTCTTCACAGCCTGGCCTAGTAGTGCCTAATCACTCTTGATACACTAACCCTGCTCCTTCAGAATACTGAGATTCACCCTCTGGGTTCCTCTGCTATCTATCCTCTGTACCAGGCTCTAGCATGCCACCACTATCTACCTTCCCATTTGTTGTAAAAGACTCTTACCCCTTATTGGGCTTGGCCTACTCTATTGTTGGTTAAGACACGCATAACTATTTAGGAGGCAACACCATGAAAGGGATGACATATTAATCTGATAAATTGGTTGCTCAAAGAAGTTGAGATTTGCTGTACTTTGTCATCACAGAATCTTAAACCTAATGGCTCACGTTACAGCAATCAAAAAAATTAAGATTATGTCAGAAAAATTTGCTTTGCAAGGAAGGGGACAGTCACCTGTCATGGACACTTCATGTCTGAAAAGATGTAATGGCAACTGGTTAATTCACCTGTGGGATAATTCACAGCTATGGTTAAATTTGCCATTGCTCTGATTCCAAGCCAACGGTCCCAATTATCGACTCGTGATAAATGGTCATTAAGGGATAATTCATCATAATCTGAATAACCCTTTGGAGTGGTGAATTAACCAGAACAATGTTACATGGAGTACATTTGTACTGCTTGACTCTACCACCCCCTCATCCTTTCACCTTTTCACTGTATAAAAAATACACTGCTCACTTTTTCTTACCACTTTTCCCATAATTTATACCTATATTCTCTCATAATATCCTGCACTCTTATCTCAAGCATATCAAGATTCATTTGATAACAGCTGTTAAATAAATGTAAACACCAGTTTGAGCTGCTCCACAAGCTTGTCTAATTAGTGCTGGGGGATACCAAATCTCTAAGTTTAAAAGCAATCCCCACCTCTGAATGATCAATAGGTGGAAGTGGATCGATGATTTTTTTGGATGGTGCAATTGGATTTGGTGGAAGTGGATCGATGATTTTTTTGGATGGGGCAATTGGATGGCCATCACTGTCATACTCCAGGTTATCTTCCTCCTCTTCTTGTACCACACCAGCATTAGGGTTTTCTGCCATGTAGCGGAAATAAGCTTCCTGCAGCAAAACATATCAGTAAAATCACACACACGTACAATGGTGAAATCCTACTGCATTTCTGATTAATTGGTGCATACGTTAAATGGTTGCTTGCTTCAACACCTACCACTGAAGGACAAAACGTTCACTAGAACTGCCTCTTCTAGTAAATAAAAATAATCGTGAAGTCCAGAGGAAGGACAATCAGAAGAAATGAACAAAGCAGCTATAATGGTCAGTTAGTATCACAGTTAAGTAACTGCAAAATGTTACTTAACAACCCCGCCCTCAAGGACCGATTAAGAAATGTTTCTATGAAAAAATGCCATGCTATACTAATGGTAGGATCTATCCCTTTACCCATGAGGACTACAGAACAAATGCTGCAGCTTTTAAAATACTGAAGTCTGAAGAAGTTACTCTATTTGTTTTTTCCCCTCAAACATTAAAGCTCCACAAACTATTTTCTACTCCCACCAACTTTACTAAAAGAACTGAGTTTTGCTTTAGGATAACTAATGGACAGTCAACACCAGTCTTAATGGCAAAGAAACAATTCCAGAAGAATCCTTCAAGAGAATCACAAATTAGAAGGCACTGGAAGATCCCACCCTAAACATATAACATATGTACTATTAGCTCTCTCTGTTAAATCTGAAAATCAAAAAATTATCACAGGGACATGATAAACTGACTTCTCAGCAAAGATATAGGGCCAGTTTTCCAGTCTCACAACTGTGTGCAAATATTTTTCTTGTCTAACACTGCACACACATTTGGGTATTTGTGCAAATTACATGGCTAATTAGTTGCTGACTAACCACATGTGCATAATGTGCACAGTATCAGTTGCATGCAAAATACAGTTTCATTTAAATGGAAGCACAATTACATGCACCTAACTGAAAACACAGTCTTTAACAGGCAAGAGAGCACTTGCATGGTTCTACATTACTTAAATTAACAGGATAATTACTAATGCAGTATAAAGTCTCAAATAATTAAGACTACAGGTCAAATAAATGAACTGAGTACATTTTGAAATGCAACCTCTTTTCTTCATTTATTATTTGTAAGATGATAATGCCCAGAAACCTCACTGAGGACTGGGGCACCTTGTACGTAAAGAGTAAGATGTGATCCTTGCCCTGAAGAGCCACAAATTTGGCTGCCGATTGTCAGTATGACTTAAGCTTCCACTGATGTACTGCATTAGAGGACTCCAATAATTTTAGATTTGGCACAGCCTGAAGTACTAAAAAAAGAGTCTGGATCCACACTTTATACTCAGTCCAACAAGAAATCCTCTCAAACCTAGTGAGAGCTGTGAAATGGCCTGTTAATACTTTATTTCTTTGGTGAAGCACCTGGAATGGTAGGGACATCACTGAAACCGTTAGACTCGCTTCCTGAATTGCCCAGTGCATTTCAGTGGTATTCAATTTTTGCTTGTTAGATTTTTGGAGGGGATATAGATAAGAAAGACTGCATAGGAACTCACTTGGTCATCTTCCTCTTCAATGTCATCTCGAATACCCCTGGAAAAACAAGCGGAGAAACAAACTTCCCTGCAAATGTTCCACATACCCAGCTCCATACTTTCATTTGATTAGTGCTGAGCTCCACGTCAGTGGAAGACACAACACTATCAAGCAGCATTTAAAACACTGTATAATCCCAACCCACAGGTGCTTTTATGATGCACGCAACCTGCACAAGCTTCACCTTCCTTCTGCTGACATGACCAAAAAACTAAGAATCCTTCGATGCAGCTTCTACTGGGAAGGTTTTTGAAAATGGCACAAGATTTTGCTGTTATCAGAAAATGTGAGGAATATGAAACAAGACGTTCAAATCTGATACTGAACTTCCCCCACATAGGTGGTGGTCGGAATCTGGTGTTCTGTTCCAGGCCTGTGAATAACCTATCAACCTAAGGTAATGTAAACTGTAGCAACATAGCTAGTATTTGTAACAAGTATCAATGGCACATTGTGATTTCACCTGATCAGGACAGAAAGGCAAGCTATACAAATGTACGTGTTTCTAATCCTGAGTCAAAATGTTCCAGCTGCTAAGTGGCTTAGCCCCCAGCCTAGCTTTAAAAGAATCTCTCTCTTTTATAAAGTGCTGCCAGGTGATTGCAAAAGGAATCGTCTGCTCCAACAAGTATGGTTTCAAACAAAACCAAGCATTCCTAATCAGTCAGAGAATGAAAAGCTTGATCCAGACCAGTCTGGTGGCAATGCAATTCACTGCTAGGCAGAAAATACTAGTTTAACCCCCACTCTCTAGATTTGCTTGGGATGAGGTAGTTGGGCAAGAAGTGCCTAAATCACAATCCTGGAATAATTTTCTCTGGATACTTCTTGGGAAGACAATGGCTGACTTTAGATGGGGTTGCACCCATTTTTTTCTTGGCTGAGACTGGCATAGACAGTTGCTACAATATAGGGGCTTTGGAAGCAGGGAGGGAAAGAAGACCACAAATGATCCTTCCAGCTAAAGTAAAATTAAAGTTTGACCAGTTTTCTCAAAAGTGGGTTTCTCCATATGGATTTGGCTGTGGGGCAGCTCCACAAGATTCTCCCATCTAAAGCACAGAACTTTAGCCACTGGGCAGGGTGCCATATTCTGGTTGCTGTTGTTTGCTATATTTATACTACCCAGATTCAAATAAACCAATGTAACTTATGGTAATGTAGAAGATGGTTGAAATTCTCTCAGTACTCTTTAACAAGAGAAAGGCAGGCAGGTTTTGTGAGGCATGGAGTAGTACTTACTTTGTATTCTTTCTTTCCTTGTCTTTGTCTTCAAGTCTCTTCATGTCCCGAGCAGCTTGATCCTGAGGATACAGAATTATACTCATATCAATTAACAGCAAGAATAAGCCTTAGAAAGGAAAATGCCTTAGTATAAAATTAACTTAATAAAAACAGATAAATATTTCAAAGCATGATAATATATCTTAAGTGAAAAAAATCCAGAGATCTTGTAATACAAAATGAATCCACGATAACTAGGTCAAGCCATCATAGCATGGGGATAATACTGCTGGGATTTAAATCTCTCATTCCATTTCCCATTACACTAATGAAATTATATTAACAACTCCTTTGGGGGTCTACCCCACAGTTTCATAACAGTGTTCCTGGAAAAAAGGTATTTTCCACACACTAGTCAGGAAAAAATGCTAGAACCCAACTAGCTGCACAGTTACAACTAAAAAAAATTCTGGTGTCAGACAAATCAAACTTTGCTGAACAAAGTAAGAAAAACACACAAAATATTAGTTTTACTAGCAAGGGCTTTATAAAGCTTTGATGTATTATCTAATCAGATCATTGTGAAGTTATAGCTTTTGGAAAATTTATTTTTGCTTTAAGTCACTCTTAAAGGGTTTTCACATATAGGATTTTTTGATTCTTAAGAGAATTATAGACAAGAACCAAATACAACCGTATCTTTGTAGCCTTCAGTAAAACGTTGGTTAAGCATTCCTTGAAGAGCACTAAAACAGTCCTTACATTTTTTTATAAGAATTAGACTAATAATAGGAGTGGTATAAGATCTGTTACGATCTATTAAGCTTTACCTGTATCATATGTTGAATACACTGTCACTAGATGTATGAAAAATGTGAAAATGTTTTGTATTAATATGTAAGTACTAGAAGTAGTGTTGGATTCTAAACTTTGTAACATATATGGACTTCTGCTCAGCAGAGTTGGCTGTGCACATAGGAGCCAAGTATATTAAGTGACAGACTACGTGTGCTGGCACACTTAGTTTTCACAGGGCTAATAAGTGGGCTAACAACTGTTTTGGTTCTTTGGGATTTAGGACGCAGCTTTTGCATTTCAAATGCACTTAGAGACTCAAGAACTATACCCTTTTCATTTCAGTAATTCTCCGAAGCCTTGTGCTGAGACTTAATGGCAGTGTTTTTTGGACTAATACCAATGGCCGATCATATTAACCAGCCATATTGGCTGATATCAATCCCATTGCCGATATGCAGCCCAGTGGCATGGAGAGCAGCGTTCATCTGGTAAATCTGTGGGGGCAGGGGAGGCAGACTGAGGTCCCTGCAGTGAGGAACGGGCTGAGGCAGGGTGGGGAGGGAGTGCAGGGTGGCAGCTCCCACTGCTGTAAACACCTCGGGGAAGGCATGGGGAGCACAGGCCCCCCGGATCTGTGCGCGGGCCGAGAGCAGGCTGTCACTGCGCGTTTGGGGCCAGAGGCTGCCGGGGGCCTCTTCCCAGTGGGGGCTGGACCCAGGGCGGGTAGGGTGGGGCAGGCAGCACTGGGTGGAGGGCCTATGGGGGGGCTAGAGCCACCCCAAAATTTGCAGTAGCCACCCCTCCAAGCACCGTCACCACTGCCTGCCCCGAGTGCAGCCCACAGCCCCAAGCGCACAGCCTACCCTTGCCCTGCGTACAGATCCAGGGGGCACATGCCTGCCCCCAAGGTGTGCGCAGTGGCAGGAGCCGCCCCCTCCCCTACCCCAGCCCTACTCCCTCCCTCACCAAGGGGACCATGATCTACTGCTCCCCCTTCCCGCCCCACAGACTTACTGACCGGATGCTGGTCTCCAAGCTGCTGGGCTGAATTCCTGGCTATGTGCATGCTAAGACTGCGCATATGCACATGGCATTTATCGGCGACATTATCAGCCACACCACCCAAAAAAAGCCGATTGCTGATAGCGTCAATTTTCCTTTTATTGGAGCCGATATGCTATGGACCAATGTACTGGTGTACCTCTAAGTATTACCATTTTTATTTAAAAAGAACATTGCCAAGGTTGTCATGCCCAAATATTTAGGTAATCTTAAATCATATTTAAATAAAAATTAATGCTTGTGAATCTAACAGGCCTTCATCCCTAAGAACTGTGAAACTAGAACTACATAAGATCAAAAAAAGGATATTCTGAGAGCGTTGTCTCTGTCATGAAACTAATTTTATGCAGTTATACTCACTCACTTGTTATCTAACCCAACAGGGCTCCAGAATTTAGCTGTAAAGCTAAATTCAAAGGCCAGAGATTCAAGGACAGTGATAATACTAGTCTAGTAGAAGGTACAGCATAAGTCATGTTTTCTGTTCCTGATCAGGGATGAAGATAACCACTTAAGTTTATGAACATTTCATGCATTGGGACTTACCTCCACTTCAGCCATGAATGCTTCCAGAGGATCATCTTCACTGTCAGAATCTCCTGATTTGGAATGAAACTGCTGGCGAGTGGGGGAATTCTCTGCAGGAATGTATGGCAAATCAACATTGCTGGAATCTTCTTCTTCATCCTCAAAGTACCTGACAAGCAAGAGAGTAGTTTTGAATTGTAATGCACTATGCTAAGTTGGATACTGGTCTTTCACATTTTCTATGAAGCCACTGATTCAAGTATCCAAATAACCAACTGGGCTGAACAGCAAAATTTTGCTCTTATCCAGACCATTCTATTAAAGGACCTTGAGTCATATTACCAATATTCATGAATTATGCTAGAAGCTGTGGCAAACAGTTAAGCACAGGGGTGGGCAAAATGCAGCCCACGGGCTGGATGCGACCCACCAGGCCATTCTATCCGGACCACGGGGCCCCTAAAACATTTAGAAAATAAATATTTATCTGCCCCTGGCTGCCTGTCATGCAGCCCTCGATGGCTTGCCAAAATTCAGTAAGCGACCCTCCACCCGAAATATTTGCCCGCCCCTGGGTTAGGGTCAACTGATCCTTTTCTCCCAAGCCTCTCCAGTAGAAGGTAATGTAGGATGCCAGTCACCCTTCCTCTTCAACCTGTACATGAGTCTGCCAGGAGGGTTAGCAATGAAACACAAAGTCTGGTATTGTCAATATGCCAAAGACACCAATTATACCTTGTTTGATTTAAATGATCATCATCTCACCTAAGCTAGAGCATATGTGAGAGAAAGCCAGCTGAAACTGAACCTTGATGAGACTAAAATAATGGCGGTGGACTAGAATAAGCAACTGTAGGAGTGTAACAGGCCTCCACCCAGCTTACCTTGGCGCTGCAGCCAAGGTGGCCAGGCTGCAGCCAGCATAGCTGGTGCACTATAGCTGGAGGGTCCATCCCCAGTTGGCCCAGAGCCCCACAGCTACATGCACAAAAGCAGCCCAGAGGCTAGAAGCCAGGCAGGAAGTGTCTAGGTGCTAGAGTCAGAACCTGATACACTCCCTGCTCCCAGAAACACCCTGCTACCATCTCTGCCCATCAGGGAGCCAAGGGAAGCTACCCAGGCCCACCATAGTCCAGTGGGGACCAAACCCAAGGGGCACCCACGCCCCATCCAGAAAACTGCCTGGAGAATGCCAGGTGCAGTTCCAGTAGCTTGTCTGGAACCAGACCCACTTGCTGTGACTGGGCAATACGGACTGGTGTATAAGATCATGAAGCCTGGAACAAAGGTCAGATGGGGATGGGAGGAAGTGGCTCGGCATGCCCCGAGGACACCCAACAAGGGTTGAACCCCGGAGGGATGGACTGTGACTCCCAAGCCTCCCTGCAATCCCACCATGCACCCAAAGTGCACCGACATGTCCACAAGCAAGCCCACCAGGGAACATGCAGAACCCCTGGGACACCTGGCCAAGAGGCTGCTAGAAAAAGTCCCAAAGAAAAAGGGACCAAATAAAAGAGGGGGAAAGAAGGGTTGGAGAAGCAGACCCTTAAGCCTCGGCACCTGAGATAGAGCAGCTCAGCATGAGGGCAATGGTGCCCTGTCCACAGCTTAGGCTAAGCCACATTGAGTTACGTTGTTTCTGGTGTTAGCCTTTTCCCCTCCAAAGTGTGACAGAATTGCGGAAAGTTCCTCCGACACTTGTGCTTCGTCCCACCAGCTCAAACAACCTGCGACAACATCCAGATGCAGTCTAGGATCTACAACACCTGAACAGAAAAGGTTGGACTGTAGGGGAGGTGGAACCCCACAGAAGATGTACCAAGGAAGGTGCTCCTGAGCCGGTAAGAACCACTGAGCAACATCACAGAGGTACTGGGAATACCAAAGTTGTGGCAGGTGAGTAGGCTCAGGGATGGTTCCTCCCTAGGTAACAGAGTGAGGGCCTGTCACAAGAAGGCTTATACAAACACCACAGTACTATCTTATTTAAAAATACTTAAAGGACAGGAAGCATTATTATCCCTTCACAGACATGGAACTGGGGCACAGTAAGTCTACATTATAGCTGCTGATACAAAAGGCCCTATCCCACCTACTCTTGCTATGTGTAAATCAACCCTAGAAATGAGGTGATGAAGATGCCCTTCAGGGCACCCCAAGCATGCCAGAAATCCAGGTCATGAGCATGGTACGAGGGATGCTCTGGGGCAGGCAAAATACGGCCCCATGGGCTAGATCCAGCCCACCAGGCCATTCTATTTGACCTGAGGGGCCCCTCCAAAAGACAACTGCTACCAGCCCGCGGCTGCCCCTTCAAGCCCATGGGAGGTGCAGGCTGTCAGAGATTGCACACCACCAGGAGCACAGGGAGCGATATGCAATTGGGCTGGGTGGGCTCTGTGCCGCCACGTGTGGCTTCCAGCACTCCTTCTGGAAGCTGCATAACCATTGGGCTGGTTCAGGTTGGCTCCATGCCAAAACATGGGACTCCTGGCATCGCAGACAGGAGTGCATGCCTTCAGGCCGGGCAGGCTCCGTAACAACATGTGGGGCTCCTGGTACTGCAGGTGGGAGCCAGGCACCTTTGGGCCTCCCGTCTCTGTGCCTCTGTGTGTGGCTCCCCAATGGAGTACTGGAAGCCCCACATGGATGCACAGAGCTAGCCTGGCCCGGCCCAATGGCACATGGCTCCTGCCTGCAGTGCTGGGAGTCCCACATACTGGCATGGAGCTAGCCTGGCTTGGTTTGAGGACGCATGCCAGTGGACCAGGCTGGCTCTGTGATGCCATGTGCAGCTCCTGAGGGGCTCTGTCTGCTGCAGGCCATGAGCACCCTGATGGCCAGCCACCTGCTGCTGCTGTTGCTGCTAGAGGCTGTGCACCATGGTGGGGGGCTCATACCCATACACAAACCCACCCCCCACAGAACCCCAACCACACATCTCCACCACAAATCCCATACCCAGCCACCCTCCTTCACAAACCCCACACACACCCACACCCCCCACACACAATATACAAGAGTAAGACTTTATTTTGAACTATTATACAATTGCCTCTATATACACTACACAAACACAAGTAAATCAGGACCAAAATATTTTTTTTAAATAAAATGTAAATGTTATAGTAGATGTTTGATTTTTAGTATATGATTTGCTTTTTTTCTGGTTCCAGGAAGGACAACCTCCCCCACAAAGGAGTACGTTCAGGGGCAAGAGCAGGGACTTTCAGTGACAAAGGTCAGGGGTGGGTGAGACATCCGGTCCCAAAATGGCAGTTGGGGGCTGGGCAACTGCCAGGGGGCGGGGCTATGCTTGCAGCCCTCCACGGCTCACCAAAAGTCATTAAGCAGCCCTCCAGCTAAAATATTTGCCCACCCCCGCTCTGGAGGATCCTCACCCTATTTCCAGAGGAGCCATACACAGAAGAATAGGTACATAGTGTTTTTTAGCTTGGCAGCAAGACTGAGCTCCTTGCCACTGCAGCACAGACATACTCCATATGATTGCTCCCAACATCAGAGTCTTTGAAGAAACAGGGATTTGAACCTAAGTCTCCCACTCATGGGCTACCATGCCCACTACTGAACCATTGTTTCGCTCTTGACAGGACATGCAATGGCAGGCACCTTGACTTAGGGAGTATGTCTGTCATTTGTTACTAGTGTTCACAGCTTTAGGGTAATTTTAGACCTCTCATAGCTGTTTGGAAGTCATTACAGCAGTAACCCTGTGCATTTTCCATCATTTGCCTAGCAAGCTGCAACATTTTATTTTGGAAATGGATCTTGTCACAGTTAATCCATACTTATATTACTTCACGATTACCCTCTACAAGGCAGTATATGAAAAGTTGCATTTTAAAAACATTGGGAGACCACAGCTAGCCTAGAGCCCAATGGCTCATTTACTGAGAAGGACATCTTGCTGGAAATAGGTAACAGCAGTGCTCCCAGAATAAGCTGCCCAACAGTCTCCAGTGGGAGTTTAAGGTGTTAGTTCTGAAATCAACACCTTAAGTATTTTGCAAAGGATTAAGAGTATGAAGGGGTAGAAGGAACTTTCTGTAGTGGCTGGCTGAGTTTTTGCTGAAACAATTAATATTACTGGTATTTTATTATACCATAAAAGAGGTATTAGGCTGCCTAGATCCTTGGAGAGGACTAAGTACGTACATAAAATAAGCAAGCTGTCCAAATATTTACCAAGAGGCAGAAAGGATATTTTCCCTCCCTTTTCACAGATAAGGAAACCAAGGTTCAGACAGTCTCATCTACCTGTCTGCTCATCAGCTTCCATCAATGAAATTTGTTCAGAACCATCCAACTGGCAGCCCATGGGCCACATACAGACCCTGAGCTGTTAATCTACAGTCACCAGGCTCCTGGTCCAGGTGCTGCTCCCGCCCCCACTTCCCCTCCCCTCCCAAACCTTCTGCTGCTGCCACAAAACACTCAACTCCCTTTCCCTCCTCCAGCTTTTCCTTCCTGCCCCACCCCTGGAGGCAGGGCTGAGGGACACCAAGAAACCCCATGTGGCAGTGGGGGTTGCCTGTCACATGATGCAATAGGATGAGGGCATCCACAGTGGTGGGGAAGGGGAGAATGATG